AAATTCAGACCACTGCTACCAGGTCTCCTTCTACTCTAGGCTGTGGCTTCCCAGATTTCTTTTCCCAGCCATTTCATGTTTCCACAGTGGGATGTTAAATGAAAGTGTCCTTTCATCCATTACCATTTCTTAAGGCCTGATATTTGTTGTCCTGATATGCCTACCCCAAACCAGCCTGTCTGTCTCTCTCATCTCCCGTCTAGTATGCCTCCCTCCAACATCTAGCCTGCATTGTATTGCTTCTTGAACCTGTCCCAGTTCATAACAGGATGTAGTTCTTTGATACAGTATATAATTTTAATTAAAGCACTTGCAAAGTAGGAGGTCATTTCATAAGAGAACTATATTATTAGGTGTGCTGGAATCAGTCCTGTTTCTGGATGAAGGAGCAATGAAAGTAAGGGTCTTATCAGTTCCAGAAAGGAAGGAGATGTTCTTCAGATCATTTTGATTAGAGAAGAAGCTCTAAAAAAACTAAAAATGATTTTGAAAAAGGGACTTAGAGTTTGTAGCCTTCCTGCTGTGCACTTAAACAACATAACTAATCATGATAATACTCTGCACTTGTATAACATACAGGGAGCTTGTTTTCTGCAAGGTACAGCCTTTCAACAGTTAGAAGTGTTAGCCAAGACCAACTCCAAGACAAACCATGAAGTTAGAAAGAAGCACAGATGTTACTATTTGCAAATATTAAAAAGGTACTGAAGTTCCTGAGCACAACCCAAGTTGTGTTGATTTCAAGCAGTAATGAGTCATAAGGGAGAAAGATGCTACTGAAATTACATGCCTGGGACTCTTCTTTGCCACTTCACTTATATTTAGAAAAAACAACAGTGTGTTTAGAAAAGCTTAACTGGGAGGAGAGGACTCTGAAAGTATGCAGTTACTGCAAGCTAAAATGAGTAAATTTACTTATCAACATTTGCTTAGCAAAAGAAATACATGCATTACAGAACTCTGACGACTCTATTAAAGGCTAAGACAACCTAATTTCATCAATCTACCAAATGGGGTGATGCTGAAGGACACAATGAAGGGTTATGGATGGGTTTCGAGTAGTGATCCAAAGAATAGAATTTCAAGATATGCAATAATAATATGCTAAAGAAAAAGAAAACACTCACGCATCCTGACCCCCCAGTCCTAAAGCCCCTCCTAATGTGAGTAGTTCCACTGAATCTTCTGGACTGTTCCCTGAAGTTTGCTACAGAGTTTGTTTTATTAAGAAGAAAGATGGAGTATTTTTCATGGGTTTGCTTGAGCTGCAGTCCAAGTTTTGCTCAGGCATCTGGAATTATTCTCTTCATACTGTGCAAGCTCCGAAGCTTAACACAGAAACTGGCATAGTTATACTTACTGTTCTACTTTATCCTTATATTCACCCCACATCATAACTTTATGCCTACTTTATCCTTATATTTATATGAATAAGGGCTCCATAATAAGACAAAAAGTGCCAAATTCTGTTCTACTTGTTGGATATCTAAGTGGATTTAGGCATGTAAATGTGATTCTATTCCACACTGCTTAATTCCCTGAAAATCCATACTGCACCTAATTTTGTAGCACAGCATCATTTTACTCTTACGACTGAGTCATGAAAAAAGGAGTGAGGAGGAGGACCAGCCCATTTTTTTGCAGTAATTATATTTCAGGGACCCAAGCAGGGTAGAATAGAATCACATTTAGGTGACTAAATCCACTTACATGACTCATAGAGGAAAAATAATCTAGCCTTTTGTTTACAAAAAACTGACCAGTCTGATAATCTAGTTCACTAAAATGACACGACCACAGGACCTGAGAAAGGTCTGACCAGGGAGGAAATCCTGACCTGAGGTGTGTTGTTTGTAGACTCAGTAGAGGAACCATAGTCAGCTTTCAAGAACAGGTTAAAATATTAATACAATTTATTGAAGGAAAGGGATATAACTGGAGGCCAGCTGTAACATACAACTGTCTGCAGTCCTTGCTGTCCTGACCAAGTGCCCAAAGCCAGTTCTCTCCAATGAACATAGCTACTTTCATACAAGTCTTTTAAAGAGCCAATATCCTTACATAAGGAAGGTCACTTGGAGGCTTCCCACTGATTTCAGTAAAACCAGGATTTTGCCTCAGAAGAGGAAGAGTACAGGTTGTTCTTCCTGTACATCTAACAACACGAAAAGGCAAGAGGAACCATTAAAAGGGGCAAGTTATACCAGCCTCCAAAACAGAAAATGGGATGCTTTTGAAGCATTTCCTACTCATAGAAATATGGTATTTACTCAAATTTAAGACAACCCTGAATTTAAGATGGTCCCCTAATAATTAGATTCTATACATGGAAAAAACTTATAAATCTGCTATAATTTTCAATATATAGAATCTAATTCTTGGAGGGTTATGTTTAATTCATCTTCCCCACCACTACAGGGAGGAAGGCATTGGGGGGAACAGGTGACATGGGGAGGTCGAACAGCTTGCCTTCTACTTGTGCCTGCCCCCTGCCATCCCTGCCCTCTACCAACCCCCTCCCACCCTGCAGCCTTGGACCCCCTCTGCTTTCTGGCCTCTCCTGCCCATCCCTCCCAGCCTCTGCTCCCCCTTCCCCTCCCACAGCCTGTATTTCCCCCCTTTCCCCAACCTCTACTTCCTACCTGTCTCCTCTCACCAGGTTATGTTCCTCCCTCCCCCTTCCACCCCAACCTTTGCTCCCCCACCTTTCCTTCCCAGCCTCTGCTCCTTGCTTCCCCTCTCCCACCCCTTATGTTTGCTCTGTACCAGCAGTCTCGATTCCCATTCTAGCCTGGGTCATGAAGAATGGCCTCAGCCCCCATAGCAGCTATGCATACCGTGCACCACTGCTACAGGGCTGGGCTGTGGCCATGCTCTGTGCCCCAGGCTGCAGCATGGATGGAACCTGATGGCAGGGAGCAAAGGCAAGTGAGGGAAGGAGAGGAGCAGGCAGGGAAGGAGAGGCTATGTGAGTTGGGGAGGGATGAGAGGAAGAGGCTGCAGAAGGGAGATGGCAGGATACAGAGGCAAGAAGGGGGTGGGGCAGGCAGCACCTGCACCTATGGCTCTGATCCTGGGTAGGGGTTGAAACCAGAGCCACAGCAGCTGACTGCCTTCCCCCCACCACCATACTTGATTGTAATATGAGGGGCTTCCCCTCCTTCCCCCGCATGTTAAATGTGCGGGACCTCATCTTAGAACTGAGTTAATGTGGTAGCTCACTGTTAAGATGAGCAGAAAAATGGCAGATTTAGAAACTGAGGTCAAACAAAAGTAACAAAGAATACAAACATGCAGAATTCACATCACACTCTGAACACAATCTCTATTCACTGTATTTACACCAAATTTCACTCACTTCCTAGTAATGGCTTTGTTGGCAGTTCAAAGAACAAAAGCAAAAATTTAAACTCGGGCTTCAGCTTTCTCTGTAACTTAGGTTGTTTTTAGGGTGTCCCTGCAGAGATCATTCTACCCTAGACTTCTGTCAAAAGAGCTTTTCTCACTTCCAAGGTGCAATTAATGAGCCAAACAGACCCTCCGAGAGACAGCAGGAAATAGCTGTCATCTGCTTGCAGGGTTCCAATTCTTGCTAATGGGATGAGTCAATATAGGAGCATTGTCACCCTCCTAGTAGGAAGTATTTTCCCTTACATATCCTCCTACATATTACAGTACAAGTGTACTGTATTTATTCATATTAACTGTGGTTTGACTGTTGCGATGCCTATACAGTTATTTATACAGAAGCTGTTCGATTCAGAGCATTTGAAAGGAGGCGTCATCTGGCAAGGCTAGGTAAATTCTTTCATGACTGAGAAATAAGTAAATTTATTCTCAGTAAACAACAATTTTATATGTAAAAATGGACCTCTGTGCCTCAAAATTGCCAGTTTGACTTTTTCAAAAGGGTACTCTATCAAAATACATAGGAGATCACTGTTGCCTCCATTTCAGATCTTGCTGGATGCCTTAGAACATGGGGCTCATGCCACTTCTTCAGAATAAAAATTCTATGGGTTAAAGATGACGGGAAGTTGGATTTGGTTTCTAGCATGTAGCCTGTAGTGGTTTTGTTCCTTTTATGTCTGAAAAAATGTTCAATACAAACCACAAGGGCAAAGCTTAATGGCATTTTCCCAGAAATGCAAACACGAATTTTCTCAACACTGAATAGCAAAGATTCTACTTCCACAGTGAAGAAAAAGTTAAATTTAGAGATTTCTTCTTTCAGAGACAGAATGTCCAGCAGCCATCTGAAATGGGTACCTCAAGTTGTACCAGTGGCAACTGTAAATCTACCAGGTGGGACTGTGATAAGAGGATAGGTTTGAAATTTTTGACACTGCTTCTTCTGATTCCCATTTTATAGTGCATGTAATTTTTCTGGAGTGCAACAAAACTTCAGACACATAAAGCTAAAACATTCATTCACTACACCTACAAACTCCATCCTAGAATATTAAGGGAAGAATTCGATTTCACCAAGTAGATGAGCAAAGTGCATTTTTAGATTAACTCTGAGCTACTAAACTACCTTTTACTCACTCTGGTCACATAAGTACATCCATTATAGGAATAGGATCACTCTTTGGAGACATGTAGATCTCTCCCTACTCTTATTATAGGGACCCAGAGGAAGCAACAGAATCATTCTTACGCAGTAGTAGAATAACTCAACATACTAATCTCAGTCTGCACTTTGGCATGTGGTGGAATAGGATTCTGCAGAAGAGTTTAATTTTTTTCATGAGAAAATTAAAAGAAGATTTTGTCAAAAGAAATTCATAAACCCAGTTATGCCATTCTTCCTTTCACTGAGTATTTCCCTTACAATTAGTAAGACAATTCCTCAACTGCTATAAATTTACAGAACTTTACTTATTTATGTGGAACTATGCTAATTTATATCAGGTGAGAACCTGACCAGGTGTGAAGCAACAAAGCAATATTGGGCCCTTTTTTAAAAAAAACATGTAAATGAAAAACACTTTTCTCACCTTCTAGTTTCATGCAAGGTTGAGGAGATGGTTGTATCAATATCTTAGGACACTTGACAATCTTCTGAGGGTTTCTTTTGAAGTGTTTGGATGTCAGACAGCTAAGGGACTTTGGTCTTCCAAGAAACTGATACAAACTTTTTTTCAACAAAGAGACTTCAGGCAAATTCTTTTTCAAATTGGCTGTTCTACATGGATTGCTGCTATAGGAAATGTCAGTTTCTGCTAAAATAGGAGGGGCACTAGTAGAAACCTCTGCTTCATCCCGGCTGGAAAAAGATACAGGAAGCTGCCAGGCAAGTACAGATCCATTGCGTTTCTGTTAACAAAATAAGTATAAATCTTATTAAATTGGTCAAAATTTAAATCGCTCCAAAATAGCTTCTGGTGTATTGCGCTAACTGCTGGCTACGTTTCTACACCATGTAAAGAATAAGACAAAGTTGAGCTGTTGTCATGGCTATGAATGTAATAGACATAGTTATCTCAGAAGTTCCATGAATCCTAGAGTCTGTTTTTCTTCTGATGAAATTAAACTGTTGGTATGTTCTGATTTCACATTCTCCATATGACAGGTTGTTTAAGATGGTTTATTCGACAGAATTTTCTTGTTTGTTTTCAAATTATGGAGAAAGATAAGTGGAAAATCTATAGACTGACAGTCTTCAGAGTTCAAAGCTCTTCTGGTTTACACAAACTAGCAGACAAAGCTCATCAACCAGATATCAACAGAACCTTACCAGCCTTGACTGAAACCTTCATTAAAGCTTAGAATTCCACATCTATTTAACAGCTGGTCACTTCCAGAAAATGTTCCCCCAATTAAGTAGCATTAATTTCCCTTTACAATCATTACACTAATACAGTTCCCTAGAGGCATCCTAATAGCTGAGCTGTCTCAATATAGTATGGACCAAAGTGCTCAAGTGCTTTTGATTATATTTTAAATGTGTAAGTTATTGCCATTTCCTATTTGATAGTATCCACAAGTATGTTAACTGGATCACAGACATGGGAAAAGACCAGTTCCTTAGCCAGAGAATGTGCAATCCAAGTAAGTTATTTCCTTGTGATATACCCATGCAGATCAAAGGCTATAATTAAGAACAGTTAGTGACAGATGGGTACAAAGGAAAATACTAAATAATAAAAGTTTTTTAAAAAATCCCATATTTAATTCCCAATTTTATCATACCTTGACATATAGTTGGGTGCCAGCATTAGTTTTACCTGAAAACAAGTTACATATTGGGCCAAATTTGTTCCCTAGATATCTCTAATTGATGCCAATCTCTCACATCTGCCTGTTCTACAGCTCAGAATACTGGAAGGACATAATACTCCAACCACTCTTCCTTCTGCCTATAGCCTGATTCTGGCCCAGCTACTATCCTAGCCCACTACTATACCAACAACAGTGTGGGTCTAGACACAACAGCAATTAACTACTCCAGCACTCGGTGATTTTTCCAAAGGCCTGTTACAGACTTCAAGCCCAAAGAACAGTATATAAAGACTGCAAAAGGAGCCAGAATTTGGCCCAAGGAACAAACAAAGCAGAATGAGAGTGAAAAGGGAGCAGCAGCTGACTAGGACAGATGACGTGCAATGGTAGATGGAAGAGAAGTTCTATAAAATGACACCAGAGCAAATGCATCATGTACTCTTTAGTGTTGACACAGCCAGCAGGGTGACTGAGACTCTGCAATAGTGACTCACAATGCAATTGGGTTTAACATCCATATAGGAGGGGAGATAAGAAGAAAATCTACTACAGTTGCCTTTAACTTTAAAAAGGGATACTACATCAACATGAGGAAGCTACTTAGACAGAAGAGTTAACAGGGCCCCCCTGAAGGAGGTGAAGAACTTGCAAGCAACCCGGGAACTGCTTCAGAACACCATATTGGAAATACAGAGCAAATGAATACTGAAAATAAAAAAAAATGTGAATCAAAAGAAAGCCAGCATGATTTAATGGCAGAGCTGCAGAAGCAAGAAACAGGAAAAAGGCTTCTTTCAAAACGTCAAAGTCAAATCCTAATCAGGAAAGAAGAAGAGCATAAACTCTGACGCATCAAATATAAAACTGTAATAAGGTACGCTAAGAAAGAATTTGAGGAGAAAACTTGCTAGGGACATAAAAGGTAACAATAACAATTTATTTAAGTAAATTAAAAGTCAAACACCTCCCAGGGAGTCTGCTGGACCTTTGGATGATCAGGATGTAAAAGGGATGCTAGGGAAACAAAATGCATTCTTTGCACCTGTCTTCACTGTGAAAGATATTAGGCAGATTCCTTCAGAAGATTCACTTCTTGCTAAGGACAAGTTGGTGATGCTGACCTAAACTGAGGTTTCAGTAGATGAGGTTGTAGAGGAAATTGATAAACTAAACAGCAGCAAACCATCAAGACCTGATGACATTTACCCTAGGGTCCTGAAAGAGTTCAGATTGGAAATTGCTGAACTCCTAACTGTAGTATGCAACCTATCACTGAAAGCAGCCTTGGTACCAGAGGACTGAAGAGTTGCCAGTGTGACTCCCATATTTAAAAGGGCTCTAGAGGAGATGCAGGGAACTACAGGTCAGTGAGTCTAACTTGTGTTCCTGGAAGACTGGTATAAATATTAATTTAAAAAAAAAAGACTTGTTCAGCACGTGGATGATTGTGTCTTGCTATGGGGGAGTGGAGGGGGTGAAATCAGCATGGTTTTTTCAAAGGGTAAGTATGCATCACTGACCAATGGAGTTCTCTGAGGGTGTCAATAAGCAAGTGGATTAAAGTGATCCAGTTGACATAGTACATCTGGACTTCCAAAAAGCTGTTGACAAGGTCCCCCATCAGAGGCTCTTAACTAAATTAGGTAGTCATGGAATTACAGGGAAAGTCCACTCATGGATTAGAAATTGGCTTAAAGATAGAAAACAAAGAATGAGTATAAATGGTCAGCTTCCAGGATGGTAGGAAATAAACAGCAGGGTTCCCCAAGGATCTGTGTTGGGACCAGTGCTGTTTAACATATTCATGAATGATCTGGACAAGGGGGTGAGTTAGCAAGGTGGCCAAATTTGCCAATGACACAAAATTATTCAAAGTGGTAAAGACCAAGGCAGACTATAAGCAACTACAAAAGGATCTATCACTGTTGAACAAACGGGCAACTAAATGGCAGACTGAATTCAACATAGATAAGTGTAAAGTGATGCAGCTGGGCAAAAATAACCCAAATTATACCAACACTATGATGGGCTCTACATTAGCTGTTACCACTAAGGAAAGAGATCTGGGAGTCATTGTTGACAGTTTGCTAAAAACATCAGCTCAGTGCTCAGCAGCCATCCAAAAAGGCAAACAAAATGTTAGGAATTATTAAGAAGAGAATGGTAAACAAAAACAAAAGTATCATTATGCCCCTTTATAAAACCAGTGTGTCCACACCTTGAATACTGTACCCATTTCTGGTTCCCAGACATCAAAAAGGCTATAGAAAAGCTAGAGAAGGTACAGAGAAGAGCAATAAGGATGATTAGCAGTAGGGAGGGGCTTCCATATATGGAAAAACTAAAGAGGCTAGGCTTATTCAGCTTTAAAAAGGAGATACTTGAGGGGAGGACACGATAAAGGTTTACAAAATACTAAATAGCAAAGAGAAAGTCAATAGGGATTTACTGTTTATTCTCACTCACAACACAGTAACTAGGGGTCATAAAATGAAACTAGTAGGTAGTTAATTTAAAACATTAAAAAGGAGGGTTTTTTTACACATGCAATTAAAGTGTGGAACTCATTGCCACCATATGCTGTGGAAGCTGATAGTTTAGCCAGATTCAAAAAGGGATTGGACAAATTATTGGAGGAAAGGTGCTTCAGTAGCTATTGAGCATGGGAGTTCAGGGTACAGTCTCTGAATCAGAATTTCCTAGACCTTAAGTGCTGGAAACTGCAAGTGAAAAAGAAACCCCTATCACTCTCCTTTTCCACTTTCTGCCACTGTGTGACACAGAATGCTGGGCAAGATAGACCTATGGTCTGACCCAGTAAATGGCACTCCTTATGACCTGGAATTTAATTCTGGTTGAAAAATTTACAGAGAAAAGTGTATTGTATTCATTATCCTGAGAAAGAAGGTAAGTCAAGCCTGCATCAGTGTGAACCAATGAGCAACAACTGCAAATTTAAATTTACAGTGTTCATTCATCCCTATATACTGTAAGTCAAAGACTGCAGCCTTCCTACCTCCTCTCTCATTTTCTTTGAGATCAAATTTTCCATGTAAAAATATCTCTGTTGAACACTTCTTGGCTCCCTCTTTACTTTCTCTTCCAAGAATCCACCTCTGGTCTTTTTAGACAGTAGCAGACCTAGGGAGAAAAAAAAAGAGATGACTATTATGCCCCATGGAGTGATCTGACCTCTTCCAAGCTGCCAGAAGCAGGTGATGAGCTCTGCCCCTTCAAGTAACTGTACAAGAAGGCTAAATGTATACGCTACTCCCCTACCTGCACTCTACTCTAGTAAGGTAGCTTCATATTAATATTTATCAGAAGTTAGGGGATAGGTCCTCACCCAATGCAAATTGATTATGAGTGTCGCAGCAAAAGTAGGCCATCAGGGGAAGTTGTGAAAACAGGCTTTAGTTGGTCTGTGTAAATCAGCTCAGGGTGGGCTTTCCATAAAAGAGGCTGGCATGGAAAATAGTTATGTCAGCTGTGGCAGGAGCAAAGAAATGGTGTTTGTCACATCTGGCAATATCCCTGATGTCATGTGTCAGTACAACCCACTCTTGAAAATTTCCCAAGCCAGATTCCACAACATATTTAGGGAGTTGGGAGAAAGGTCAGGCAAATTTTCAGGCATCAAGCAACCTTTATCAGGTCATAAAATTTTGAAACTATGAATACAATGAGCTTAGAGGTGTGAAGTAATGGAGGAGTGGAAACTACTGAAGAGGACTCAAGAAGTATTTGGACATATTACAGTACAAAGGACTGTATATATAATTACATAACATGTAACATCCTTGAACTGCTTGATCAGGTCTGAGTGACTTTTTTGAGATCTATATATAGGGGAAATAAAGGCATGTACTGAATTTCAATCATTTATCTTTACTAGGAATTCTTTGTGGACACTTGTCTTTATTCCCTTAATAATGTACTATATTACATGTCACCGAATGTATATTTGATCTCTATTTGTAATGCATAGTTATTTTAATTATAAATAAAAAATAAAATATTATGGGGACAGCTGTTGCAAGGTAAGAATGAATGTACAGTTATAACAGAGGTATTTATCATTTATCCTTTCAACTTATTAAAGTTTGAAATATTTTTGTAAGTATTACCTCCATAGAAGACTGAATAATTCAGTAGAACTGACGCTTCTCTTTTTGTGGAAGTGGGGCATATTAAGCCAGCTCTTTCCACCAGCTCTAATCTCAGCAGGTTTGACTACAATTCCCACTGACTTCACCAGAAGTACAGTTAGACCATTTATAAGAGCACTTTTGAAAACTTTTCCTTTTAAGAAACACAACACTAATCCCACTTCCGGAAAGACTCAGTGTTACCCTATGTACTGACACTGTCCTCTCCTTTTTCAGCGATTAAGATACAGGGAACAAATAAATATGGTGCTGCTTTTTCATAATTTATGAATACGAGATGTGACTTTGGTTATCAAGTTGTTAATTGTATAAGGGTTGATTTGATTTAATAACAAGCTATAAGGAAAACAAAAATGGCTTGAGATAAGCTGACTCCCCATAAATACTTCAGGGTTTTTAAGACAATGCTGAAGCTATTAATTGTAAATTTCTATCTTTAGGTCCAGCCAATTCACATAATTTGTTTAGCCAAGTGGGAACCAATAAATCAAAAGGACTATAAAAATTCAGAAGCCCGTTTCTGTCCAGTAGTGAGATAGTTACAGTTAGACAACTCTTCGAGCTCACACTCAAGACCCAGTGGACTGTTTGGAGAAGCAGTTAGGCCTTCCTAGCCAACCATCACAGGCTTTCTTCTCACTACATTCACCACTGACCACAAATACCTGAAAGGAAAAGGTGCAGATACCCACTGCAGTCTCATCTGTTCTATAAGAACAGTCAAGTTTACAGTAGTCCAGGACCCAATCTAAGACTGTAAGAAAAGCCTAATACCAACCCAGTATGGAAAAGGCACAAAACCTGACCCCTGAATCAGAAAAACCAGAGATGGGACTGAGATGCAGCTGGACTGTTACCATTTTTGGTATCAGGTCTCATTTTTCAGGATTTGGTGTGGACAGCAGGATTCAGCATTTCCCTACCCGCTCAACTTCATCAGATATATTTAAATTTAAATAGAACTTGGGAGGTTATATCCAAACATGAACAATAGAATTGCTAAAAGCAGCTTCCCTTCCTTCCTCATAAGGGTGCACAGACTGATGGAAATAGAGGATTGGAACCTGAGCACTCTGGCTGCAAGTGTCAAAGTTTTTTATGAGAATGCAAATACAGTCTATTTAGGTAACTACACTGACGTAATACACACTTACACTTCAGTAAGACATTTAATTATTTCCACACTGAAATAAAACATTCTCACTTTAAAACTAATATAACAAATATAAAATATATAGATATAGATATTAAAAAGTGAATTAATTCAAAGACCGTTATAAATGGGGATTCATCAATAAGTGAGGGTATTTCTAGTGTGATCTTGAAAGGTTTGGTCTTGATTTAACTTCTCCAATATTTTTTTCCAACAGGCTGAAAAACATATATAAAATTATTGCTGGTGAAGATTGCAGACAGTACAAAAATCGGCGGAGTGGCAAATGGTAAGGACAATGTTCTACAGATTGAACTGCCTTGTTCAGTAAGGTGTTTCATTTGAACAGCATACATTTTAAGATGGTCAAATACAAAGTCATTAATTTAGGAATAAATCACACTTACAGAATGGGGACTGTGCTCTGGAAAACAGTGATTCTGAACACTATAATGGATAACATATCATACATGAACACCCAGCAAAACACTGTAGTTAAATGGACTAAGAAAATCCTTGTGTAAACAGGGAAATACTGAACAAAAGCAGGTAGACTGTATAACCTGCATATGTAAAAATGATTGTTCCCATTATCGGAACACATTGTTCAGTTATCTGTCCACCTTAAAAGAATCTTGAAAAATTGGAAAGGGTTAAAAAAAAAACTTCAAGAATTATGTGGGGTCTGAGAAGCCAGCCTAGAAACCAAAGTAGGTCAATCTATTTCATTTAATCAAGAGAATATTAAAAGGTGACAAAGTACCTGGATGTGAAGATCATTTCAAATAATAAAATGCTTTTTATTGGTTTGAAACTGAGAGGTATAACAAAATTTAATGACTAAAAGCTGAAGCTAGACAAATTCAGACTAAAAGTAAGGCATACACTTTTAACAACAAGATCTGTTACTGCTGAAACAACACATTCAGCAATCTAGGGGATTTTCTACCATTTAACATCCATAAATCAAGATCAAATGTCTTTCTAAAGGATGTGATTGAACTAGATCAAATGTTATAGTTTTGATGCAAGAACCCCGTTAGTTAGCTTCCTCAGCCTGTGTGATATTGGAGGTCAGCCTAGACTATCATAATACTCTCTTTTCACCCTAAATTCTACAAAGCAATGAAAATTGCTTCACAGAACTACAGGGTTCCATTGCAACAATGTAAAGATAAAATTAACCAAATGGTGAAACTTAAAGCCAACATAAGGAAGCAGACACCCCTAATAAATGAACTGTATTCTAACAGAGAAGTGAGCAGATACTCCTGAAAAAAGAAAAACATGTAGTGAGAGAAAGGTTCAAGGGAGAAGTAAATGAGAGGGTTGATCAAACAAGCATCCATGTATTTGCATATTTCTCCAAACTACATTTATATAGCATAAGAGTTGAAAGTATATCAAAATTTAGCAAGGATGAGGTATGCATACACATTAACTAGCCATATAAAAATAATCTTTTCTCATGGATTCTCAACACCATCCCCATTTTTGAGGAATTCAATTCTGATTTTTTTTTAAACTAAAAAATTCTACTGTTCACCAGTGTAACAATAACAAAGGGTATTTTTACAGTTAAAAAGGTCCTTTGAAATTAAGAGCACAATATGAAGCATTATGTTGTAATAATGTATATAAAGTCTATGCATAATTTTGTGACAAATTATTTTTTCTCTGCAAATTTTTGTTGTGTGTCACAATACTTTCCTGGAACTTACTCTTATATGTATAAAATCTTATAACAAGTTAGAACATTAGCTCCATTGAATATAGTAGGAGATTTTTTAGCATTATATGATCATGTTACATGATACTTATGATACATAAGTATCATAATGTTATATTAAAATATAATTATACGATAAACATTAACAATTACATTAATTATTAATGTTAATTAATAATTAATGTTAATTAATTATACGATAAAAATAACAATTACATTGCATAAGGAGAAGGGACCCTTAATTTTGTAAAATAAAGAGCTCTAATATTTTTCCTGTGGGCAGGTTCAGTGATGTATGGTTCTGAGAGAGCCAGATTTGAGAAGTCAAGAGGGAGCTAGAGGAGAAAAAGGGCATTCAGATGAACTATATAAGCATTTCTTTCTGAATATAAATTGCTACTGCATTTGAATATGAAGCACTGGTCGCAATTTTCCCCTGAATTGTAAGCTTCTCAGACATAAATATATTTTCTTTAAAATGATCTCAGAATTATAGCACAAGTGAAAATAATTTCTCCAGATGTGACAGGGCCATGCAAAGTTTTAAAATGGGTTAGAGAGTTCACTTTCAACTGTTAACACTATAGCAACTCAAGACAAAACCAATGCTGCATTATCTGACAGTAAATTCTGCAGAGCCTTTACTTCTTTTCTCAAGGGTATCCAGAAATATATTGCATTCCCTTATCTTTCTATCTGAACAAAAAAAAGTAATCCCGTTTTCTTAAGACATCAATTTTTTTACCTCTTTCATGATGATTTATAAGGTTGCAGTTTTCCTTTTATTCTGTCAGAGAGGCTTCTGCATTCTCATTGCAGCTGACCTCTGAATGCACCATAGGAAGCAGAAAAGTTTGATACCATCACTGCAGGGTAACTTCTTGTTATTGAAACAGTGGCTAGTGGAGCAGCAGGACACGCAGTAAGAAACCTCTTAATTCTAATCATTGAAAATATTTCTTCTTCATCAAAATGACCCTGGAGCTCCTGATTCAATTCTT